AGCGTAAGAAAGCCTGCGCAGAGCACAATGCCAGGCGCAAAGCGCAACGGGCGCAACGGTATGCGGCCGGTGCATAGAAAAGACGCAAAGCAGCGCAGAGCACTTTCACATTTTTTGTACTGAGCTTTGATCATGTACTTCTTTTGGCCCAGCGGTCACGTGGTTTGTTTTGACTAACTAACTGCATCGCTGTCTTGTGACTTCACCAGAAACGATGCGCCGATGCGCAGTGTTGTGAAGCAACTTAGAAAGATACCTGAACCATCCTGAACCACAGGCTTCAGATGCAATTCTTTGACGGCCGGGTGCGGCAGTGCGGTGCCCTACGTGGCAGGATGTCAGAGCTGTGAATCACAGTGAAACATGGTGAAGCTGAGACCTGACCAAGCCAACTTATACAATAATATACAATCAACTTAATCATGTGAAATCTCAAAGCAGAAGCTGGCAGAACCTGTGCGTTTTATGGCAAAAGATGTGTGTTTTATAAATGTAGAGGCTAAGAAAGATTTTCAAGTGAATTAAAAAGCAGGTCAGGTGAACACACCTGAACAGCAAACTTCACTGACTGATTGCTGAGGGGTTCACTCAACATGTTCAAATAAGCCACCAATCCGCCTTCTGCAAGGCATTTGCATGCCTTGTTGGGAAATGGTGGAAGGCATGGCTGCCTTCAACCACAAAACTGGGGGTTCGGTTTTGCACAGATTGGCAGATGGACACACACGTCACTTCTAGGCAGTGCACGATGGGAAGAGCACGTGGCAAAGACATGAGAAGACCATGGATGTAGCAACATGTTGGGCACAACGTGCTCTTGTGCCTTTCTTAGGTCAAGCCTCAAACTAGAACAAATGCTGCCATCATAGCAGATATACCCACAACATCCCACAACTTTAAGTGTTCTGGAACTAGTGCCACGGTTTGTTCCTTGGACATATGTGGGACGATTCTTGCTGCCTTGACACATTGTTCATTCGGCGCTGAATGAGGCAGCGGCTGAAAGCTGCCCTGACCATGGTTCACACGTGTCTCCTGCATGTCTTGGTGTGCAAGTTCCTGCAGAGCAGTTCCGACACTGTCCCACATCAAGAAAAAATCGCACCCAACTACCAGATTTATTTTTTCTGCAGGTGCACCCTTCACGAGACGAGACAGGACCTGCGGCTCTGGACATTTTGGTGTTTGGATGCATTCATGCATAAGCCGGATCAAGCCGGCAAGTTCACACTTTTGCCGAAAGTTGCACGTTTCTAGAGTCCGCGCCCCACGGGGAACGTCAAAGCAATTCGAAGATATCAAGAGCGTAAGAAGGAATGGGGTCGCTGAAAATTGTTGAGAAACAGGAGGTTGCATTGGGCTAGACTACTTGGGGAATGGCATGGAATGGCCAGATCAGAATCATTTTATGTCGAATCATGTCGAATCAGTGTCACAGGATCCGGCATGGGATGCATGGGGTTTCAGGTGCCATTGATCAGGTCAATCAGGTTGTATCCGGTTGGGATGGTCACGGTGCAAGGGATTTTCAGGTCATCATGGTCCTTTTTGTCGCATGTGGGCGGGACGCTCCAAATGGTGGGTGGAGGAATTACATGGAATTACTGTACAGGATCCGAACATATCCAACCCCCTTGCTACTTGGGGCCGATCATTTTCTACGTTCATCCATTTGTCATCATTTTTCTATATCTTGCAACTCCTTAAGTAAAGATCTGACACAATACAAAAAGAAACATGTCAGCGGCGTCCTCTCAATTATGTCAGACGAACACGGACGGTTCATGACCTTTCCGATTTTGTTACATCACCTGCAGCCTGTCCATCCGATGTCCATCGTACACCCTCTTACCGCTGCTCTTGAACAATTTTGTGCGAGTAAAGTCGGCATTTCTCCAACTTGTGGCACGCGTTTTGATACTGTCGTTCTTTCTTGACATGGTTTGACTCGGTCAGCTGAAAGGCCGTGTTCAATTACAATAGACATAAAGTATCGTAATTCAAAATGTGGTGTTTCGGATTAGAATGGGTTTGTATCTAGATGTGATTAGGTTGTTCTGCAAGTTGTGAATTCACTCAGGTTTTGCCTGGCCATTGATTTCTGCCTTTGGAAGTTCACATTGTCACCCCAGGATGTGAAGAATTGGTGCGCCACTTATTTTGCACCACCACAGAGCCAAAGTGAAAAATATCAAAAAATCTGCAAGCCTGAGGGCCATGAGGGAAGGGTGGAAGTGCTCGCAGCAAGGCCAGCTTATCTCCTGACGTTGCTCAAAGGTTTTGACTCGGACATTTCTCATCAGGCGAGCATCAGACGGGAGTGTGCTGTGGTATGCTGCAGTGATTTCTTCTCATTTTGCAGTGCATATATTACATTATATTACATAATATTTCATCAGAGCAATACCTGGACCTTCAAACGCACCTGAAGTTTGTGTGCAATTTGGATTTGTAAGTGATATAAATACAAAAAAAGGATAAACACAGGTACCAGTAGTACCGCGTTGGAGGAGAAGCAATTGAGTGGCGCGCGCGGTGGAAGGACGAGGAGAAGGAAGTGCTTCGTCAGGCGTTGGAGGAGATGCAGGAGGAGGGAAAGGACTTGCCACCTGTGAAGCGACCTTTGAACAAACTCTTACGTTTCTTTACTGGCTCTTTCAAGCAGCCTGTAGAAGGATGGAAGAACTCAAAGGTGGAGTTTCTCCTCAAGAGGACAGACAGGTGCATCCCTCTGATTGGAAAGACTTGCTTCAATGAATTGCGCATTCCGTCAGATTCCTTCAGGATGCCTCGAAAGCTCTCACAAGTTGAAAGAGATGATTGCAGAGTCCGTGGTCTCAGAGGATTTTGCCATCGAGTAGTCTCCATATGTGGCCGGACGACACAGCCTACGCAGCCTGCGATGAGGCAAAGGCGACAAAAAGGATGCTCATTTTGAGTGTTCGTACAGCCGCGCATCCAAGTCCATCCTGGAAACCAAGTGCTTTGCAATCGGAGGATCATTGCAATAAATTGCAACTTCAGCTCGTGTTCAGCACTTTCATGGCATTTCATGGCTATAGCATAGAAAATACGTAGTTAGTAGGTGTTAGTACGGCAGCACCTTCGTTTGATTTGCAGGTGGAACTACCGTCGTGGATCCAATGCTGCAAGGCATCTGGATGTTTCTGTTCTGTTTCTATTCTCTTTCTGTTCTGTTTCTGTTTCCAAAATTGTCCCGAATTGATCAAAATGGGATTTCACCATCGCATCAGACAACTTCTCCGCCAGGCAGTGTGAAGGTCTTCGCCTCGGGTCAAGGCAGGTGGCCTGGCATAGCCTGGCATAGCCTGGCATAGTTGTGTTACGGCGTGGCAAAAGCTCAGCAAAAGCACAGCGGCACAGTCATGCATAGTCTATGTTGACATGTCAAAAGCTCAGGATATCTGCAGAGTGTTGGACTTCTATAGGATCTTCATGTCATTTCTTCATTTCTTTCGTTGTCCACATTGTGTCCACATGCCAGACTTCAGCCAGGCCGGAGCTCGACTTCAGGGACTGGACCCGAGAAACCTCAGAGACCCGAGACTTTCAGGCGTGTTGTGGCCGAGTCATACGGATGCGTAGAGTGATCAGTCTAAGTTTTGACACATGTAAGGATGCACACATTCTGAAGCGGTTTTCGAAATCTTTCAGACACATTGGGGCATTTTGGAACTTCCCTTCAGCTCGGGGAAGTGAAGCAGATCAATTCAGCCAGTTGCAAGAAACGACCACACATACAAGTACCATACAAATACGATCAGAATACCTTCACTCGCCCATCGAAAGATGCTTGATGATGGTCACGTTTGCTACAACGACCAACTATTTACATTTACAGCATTTCTCCGCACATTTGTTCCAAACTGCAGATGCTCCGGGTGCATATGCACGCATTAATCCAGCGTTTGCCAAGGTTTAGCAGTTGATTGGAAGATCCATCTCTAAAAACTTCTCTGTTTTGCTGCTTTTGCTGGCTCATGAACCAGGCTGCAGCTTGAAGTAGGAACATAGAAAACAGAAAGGTCACATGCAGAGGTCGATTTGCAATTTCATTCAATGGAGTTGAATCTTGCATCAGGACAACTTGACAACTTGTCAAATATATGTGGCATTATGTGGCACTGTGGCAGCAATATTTTTGTGACTTATTCATCCACTTCTGCTGCGGACATGGATTATTCGTCTTCTTCGAGGAGTCGAAAATCCAGGACTTCTTCGTCTTCTTCCAGGAGTCGAAAAGCCAGGACTTCTTCGTCTTCTTCGAGGAGTCGCTCCCCGAGGGCCAAGCAGAAAGCGTTCCTGACTCGGAGCACCGCAGGATCAGCTGTTTTTGGCTTTTCTGATTCTAGAAACTTCGAGACATGTCTCCCTCGCTTCATTCTGTCACCTCTCCTTGTCGTTTTCTATGTTTTGCATTTTACAAAAAGTCTTTGCAACTGTACAATTAGGTCCTTTCAGTTTTGTTGGAATTTTCAGCATTCTGTCGAAACATGTTTCTACTGACCGAGGTCTTCCAGTGGTGCCCAAAGGTCCAGGCCATCTCCGCTACGTGGGCGGCTGTGGGGTTTTGACGTGAACAAGTATGATGGAAATTGGAAAGGGGCGACGGTCGATTTCTTCAGGTGGCTTAGTTGCAAGACGTCACAAGACACTGGTCACATCACCAAATCATAAGTATTGAAGATCTGAACATGTATCTGAAGCCTATTTGAAATCTGTCAGCCCCAACGCTTGCAGTGAGGCGGTTGCAACGTTCTGACCCTAAAGATCCTCCGTTTGGGACCTATCATACAGTGAGGGATGAGGATGGCCTCTATCATTCCACGCTGCAACTCACTGACAAAGCTCGAGCAGCTGCCCGTCTGAAAAAATTGCAATACAAAGGAGAAGGGGCGCGTACCATAAAAGCAGCAGAGCTATCAGCAACTCGTGTGCTTTGGGATGATCCCTGTATAAGGGAGCAAGCCGCAAAGCTGCGGCCTGGGAAGACAGCTTTGAAGCATAACAAAAACTATTTACAGCACAATGCCAGGCGCAAAGCGCTATGGTTGGGACGCCAGCCGGTGCATAGTGCACAAAAAAAGGAGGAAAGAGGTTAGCGTAAGAAAGCCTGCGCAGAGCACAATGCCAGGCGCAAAGCGCAACAGGCGCAACGGTATGGGGCCGGTGCATAGAAAAGACGCAAAGCAGCGCAGAGCACTTTCACATTTTTGGTACCGAGCTTTGATCATGTACTTCTTTTGGCCCAGCGGTCACGTGGTTTGTTTTGACTAACTGCATCGCTGTCTTGTGACTTCACCAGAAACGATGCGCCGATGCGCAGTGTTGTGAAGCAACTTAGAAAGATACCTGAACCATCCTGAACCACAGGCTTCAGATGCAATTCTTTGACGGCCGGGTGCGGCAGTGCGGTGCCCTACGTGGCAGGATGTCAGAGCTGTGAATCACAGTGAAACATGGTGAAGCTGAGACCTGACCAAGCCAACTTATACAATAATATACAATCAACTTAATCATGTGAAATCTCAAAGCAGAAGCTGGCAGAACCTGTGCGTTTTATGGCAAAAGATGTGTGTTTTATAAATGTAGAGGCTAAGAAAGATTTTCAAGTGAATTAAAAAGCAGGTCAGGTGAACACACCTGAACAGCAAACTTCACTGACTGATTGCTGAGGGGTTCACTCAACATGTTCAAATAAGCCACCAATCCGCCTTCTGCAAGGCATTTGCATGCCTTGTTGGGAAATGGTGGAAGGCATGGCTGCCTTCAACCACAAAACTGGGGGTTCGGTTTTGCACAGATTGGCAGATGGACACACACGTCACTTCTAGGCAGTGCACGATGGGAAGAGCACGTGGCAAAGACATGAGAAGACCATGGATGTAGCAACATGTTGGGCACAACGTGCTCTTGTGCCTTTCTTAGGTCAAGCCTCAAACTAGAACAAATGCTGCCATCATAGCAGATATACCCACAACATCCCACAACTTTAAGTGTTCTGGAACTAGTGCCACGGTTTGTTCCTTGGACATATGTGGGACGATTCTTGCTGCCTTGACACATTGTTCATTCGGCGCTGAATGAGGCAGCGGCTGAAAGCTGCCCTGACCATGGTTCACACGTGTCTCCTGCATGTCTTGGTGTGCAAGTTCCTGCAGAGCAGTTCCGACACTGTCCCACATCAAAAAAATCGCACCCAACTACCAGATTTATTTTTTCTGCAGGTGCACCCTTCACGAGACGAGACAGGACCTGCGGCTCTGGACATTTTGGTGTTTGGATGCATTCATGCATAAGCCGGATCAAGCCGGCAAGTTCACACTTTTGCCGAAAGTTGCACGTTTCTAGAGTCCGCGCCCCACGGGGAACGTCAAAGCAATTCGAAGATATCAAGAGCGTAAGAAGGAATGGGGTCGCTGAAAATTGTTGAGAAACAGGAGGTTGCATTGGGCTAGACTACTTGGGGAATGGCATGGAATGGCCAGATCAGAATCATTTTATGTCGAATCATGTCGAATCAGTGTCACAGGATCCGGCATGGGATGCATGGGGTTTCAGGTGCCATTGATCAGGTCAATCAGGTTGTATCCGGTTGGGATGGTCACGGTGCAAGGGATTTTCAGGTCATCATGGTCCTTTTTGTCGCATGTGGGCGGGACGCTCCAAATGGTGGGTGGAGGAATTACATGGAATTACTGTACAGGATCCGAACATATCCAACCCCCTTGCTACTTGGGGCCGATCATTTTCTACGTTCATCCATTTGTCATCATTTTTCTATATCTTGCAACTCCTTAAGTAAAGATCTGACACAATACAAAAAGAAACATGTCAGCGGCGTCCTCTCAATTATGTCAGACGAACACGGACGGTTCATGACCTTTCCGATTTTGTTACATCACCTGCAGCCTGTCCATCCGATGTCCATCGTACACCCTCTTACCGCTGCTCTTGAACAATTTTGTGCGAGTAAAGTCGGCATTTCTCCAACTTGTGGCACGCGTTTTGATACTGTCGTTCTTTCTTGACATGGTTTGACTCGGTCAGCTGAAAGGCCGTGTTCAATTACAATAGACATAAATTAGGACGTAGCTCTACCACGTTTTTGACCTGTCTCTTTAGAGAGTTTTTATAGCCTTAACTTTTAGTTTCTATACACTTAACTTTTAGTTTTTATACACTTAACTTTTAGTTTTTATACACTTAACTTTTAGTTTTTATCAACTTAACTTTTAGTTTTTATCAACTTAACTCTTAGTTTTTATACACTTAACTTTTAGTTTTTATACACTTAACTTTTAGTTTTTATACACTTAACTTTTAGTTTTTATACACTTAACTTTTAGTTTTTATACACTTAACTTTTAGTTTTTATACACTTAACTTTTAGTTTTTATACACTTAACTTTTAGTTTTTATCAACTTAACTTTTAGTTTTTATACACTTAACTTTTAGTTTTTATACACTTAACTTTTAGTTTTTATACACTTAACTTTTAGTTTTTATACACTTAACTTTTAGTTTTTATCAACTTAACTTTTAGTTTTTATCAACTTAACTCTTAGTTTTTATACACTTAACTTTTAGTTTTTATACACTTAACTTTTAGTTTTTATCAACTTAACTTTTAGTTTTTATACACTTAACTTTTAGTTTTTATACACTTAACTTTTAGTTTTTATACACTTAACTTTTAGTTTTTATACACTTAACTTTTAGTTTTTATACACTTAACTCTTAGTTTTTATACACTTAACTTTTAGTTTTTATACACTTAACTTTTAGTTTTTATACACTTAACTTTTAGTTTTTATACACTTAACTTTTAGTTTTTATACACTTAACTTTTAGTTTTTATACACTTAACTTTTAGTTTTTATCAACTTAACTTTTAGTTTTTATACACTTAACTTTTAGTTTTTATACACTTAACTTTTAGTTTTTATACACTTAACTTTTAGTTTTTATACACTTAACTTTTAGTTTTTATACACTTAACTCTTAGTTTTTATACACTTAACTTTTAGTTTTTATACACTTAACTTTTAGTTTTTATACACTTAACTTTTAGTTTTTATACACTTAACTTTTAGTTTTTATACACTTAACTTTTAGTTTTTATACACTTAACTTTTACTAAGATAGAACCCCAAAATTGGACCCCAAAATGACCCCAAGAAGGTGAGTTTTTATCAGCTTAAGTCTGGCCAGTTAAGCTGACACAAAGTAAGGGTATAAAAACTCTAGTCTGGTGCAAAATAGAGTTTCTGTACCCTTACTTTGTGTCAGCTTAACTGGCCAGACTTAAGCTGATAAAAACTCACCTTCTTGGGGTCATTTTGGGGTCATTTTGGGGTCCAATTTTGGGGTTCTATCTTAGTAAAAGTTAAGTGTATAAAAACTAAAAGTTAAGTGTATAAAAACTAAAAGTTAAGTTGATAAAAACTAAAAGTTAAGTGTATAAAAACTAAAAGTTAAGTGTATAAAAACTAAAAGTTAAGTGTATAAAAACTAAAAGTTAAGTGTATAAAAACTAAAAGTTAAGTGTATAAAAACTAAAAGTTAAGTGTATAAAAACTAAGAGTTAAGTGTATAAAAACTAAAAGTTAAGTGTATAAAAACTAAAAGTTAAGTGTATAAAAACTAAAAGTTAAGTGTATAAAAACTAAAAGTTAAGTGTATAAAAACTAAGAGTTAAGTTGATAAAAACTAAAAGTTAAGTTGATAAAAACTAAAAGTTAAGTGTATAAAAACTAAAAGTTAAGTGTATAAAAACTAAAAGTTAAGTGTATAAAAACTAAAAGTTAAGTGTATAAAAACTAAAAGTTAAGTGTATAAAAACTAAAAGTTAAGTGTATAAAAACTAAAAGTTAAGTGTATAAAAACTAAAAGTTAAGTGTATAAAAACTGAAAGTTAAGTGTATAAAAACTAAAAGTTAAGTGTATAAAAACTAAGAGTTAAGTTGATAAAAACTAAAAGTTAAGTGTATAAAAACTAAGAGTTAAGTTGATAAAAACTAAAAGTTAAGTGTATAAAAACTAAAAGTTCAGTTGATAAAACTCCTAAAGAAAACGTGTTAGATCAACACCCTAAGACATAAAGTATCATAATTCAAAATGTGGTGTTTCGGATTAGAATGGGTTTGTATCTAGATGTGATTAGGTTGTTCTGCAAGTTGTGAATTCACTCAGGTTTTGCCTGGCCATTGATTTCTGCCTTTGGAAGTTCACATTGTCACCCCAGGATGTGAAGAATTGGTGCGCCACTTATTTTGCACCACCACAGAGCCAAAGTGAAAAATATCAAAAAATCTGCAAGCCTGAGGGCCATGAGGGAAGGGTGGAAGTGCTCGCAGCAAGGCCAGCTTATCTCCTGACGTTGCTCAAAGGTTTTGACTCGGACATTTCTCATCAGGCGAGCATCAGACGGGAGTGTGCTGTGGTATGCTGCAGTGATTTCTTCTCATTTTGCAGTGCATATATTACATTATATTACATAATATTTCATCAGAGCAATACCTGGACCTTCAAACGCACCTGAAATTTGTGTGCAATTTGGATTTGTAAGTGATATAAATACAAAAAAAGGATAAACACAGGTACCAGTAGTACCGCGTTGGAGGAGAAGCAATTGAGTGGCGCGCGCGGTGGAAGGACGAGGAGAAGGAAGTGCTTCGTCAGGCGTTGGGGGAGATGCAGGAGGAGGGAAAGGACTTGCCACCTGTGAAGCGACCTTTGAACAAACTCTTACGTTTCTTTACTGGCTCTTTCAAGCAGCCTGTAGAAGGATGGAAGAACTCAAAGGTGGAGTTTCTCCTCAAGAGGACAGACAGGTGCATCCCTCTGATTGGAAAGACTTGCTTCAATGAATTGCGCATTCCTTCAGATTCCTTCAGGATGCCTCGAAAGCTCTCACAAGTTGAAAGAGATGATTGCAGAGTCCGTGGTCTCAGAGGATTTTGCCATCGAGTAGTCTCCATATGTGGCCGGACGACACAGCCTACGCAGCCTGCGATGAGGCAAAGGCGACAAAAAGGATGCTCATTTTGAGTGTTCGTACAGCCGCGCATCCAAGTCCATCCTGGAAACCAAGTGCTTTGCAATCGGAGGATCATTGCAATAAATTGCAACTTCAGCTCGTGTTCAGCACTTTCATGGCATTTCATGGCTATAGCATAGAAAATACGTAGTTAGTAGGTGTTAGTACGGCAGCACCTTCGTTTGATTTGCAGGTGGAACTACCGTCGTGGATCCAATGCTGCAAGGCATCTGGATGTTTCTGTTCTGTTTCTATTCTCTTTCTGTTCTGTTTCTGTTTCCAAAATTGTCCCGAATTGATCAAAATGGGATTTCACCATCGCATCAGACAACTTCTCCAGGCAGTGTGAAGGTCTTCGCCTCGGGTCAAGGCAGGTGGCCTGGCATAGCCTGGCATAGCCTGGCATAGCTTGGCATAGCCTGGTAGTTGTGTTACGGCGTGGCAAAAGCTCAGCAAAAGCACAGCGGCACAGTCATGCATAGTCTATGTTGACATGTCAAAAGCTCAGGATATCTGCAGAGTGTTGGACTTCTATAGGATCTTCATGTCATTTCTTCATTTCTTTCGTTGTCCACATTGTGTCCACATGCCAGACTTCAGCCAGGCCGGAGCTCGACTTCAGGGACTGGACCCGAGAAACCTCAGAGACCCGAGACTTTCAGGCGTGTTGTGGCCGAGTCATACGGATGCGTAGAGTGATCAGTCTAAGTTTTGACACATGTAAGGATGCACACATTCTGAAGCGGTTTTCGAAATCTTTCAGACACATTGGGGCATTTTGGAACTTCCCTTCAGCTCGGGGAAGTGAAGCAGATCAATTCAGCCAGTTGCAAGAAACGACCACACATACAAGTACCATACAAATACGATCAGAATACCTTCACTCGCCCATCGAAAGATGCTTGATGATGGTCACGTTTGCTACAACGACCAACTATTTACATTTACAGCATTTCTCCGCACATTTGTTCCAAACTGCAGATGCTCCGGGTGCATATGCACGCATTAATCCAGCGTTTGCCAAGGTTTAGCAGTTGATTGGAAGATCCATCTCTAAAAACTTCTCTGTTTTGCTGCTTTTGCTGGCTCATGAACCAGGCTGCAGCTTGAAGTAGGAACATAGAAAACAGAAAGGTCACATGCAGAGGTCGATTTGCAATTTCATTCAATGGAGTTGAATCTTGCATCAGGACAACTTGACAACTTGTCAAATATATGTGGCATTATGTGGCACTGTGGCAGCAATATTTTTGTGACTTATTCATCCACTTCTGCTGCGGACATGGATTATTCGTCTTCTTCGAGGAGTCGAAAATCCAGGACTTCTTCGTCTTCTTCCAGGAGTCGAAAAGCCAGGACTTCTTCGTCTTCTTCGAGGAGTCGCTCCCCGAGGGCCAAGCAGAAAGCGTTCCTGACTCGGAGCACCGCAGGATCAGCTGTTTTTGGCTTTTCTGATTCTAGAAACTTCGAGACATGTCTCCCTCGCTTCATTCTGTCACCTCTCCTTGTCGTTTTCTATGTTTTGCATTTTACAAAAAGTCTTTGCAACTGTACAATTAGGTCCTTTCAGTTTTGTTGGAATTTTCAGCATTCTGTCGAAACATGTTTCTACTGACCGAGGTCTTCCAGTGGTGCCCAAAGGTCCAGGCCATCTCCGCTACGTGGGCGGCTGTGGGGTTTTGACGTGAACAAGTATGATGGAAATTGGAAAGGGGCGACGGTCGATTTCTTCAGGTGGCTTAGTTGCAAGACGTCACAACACACTGGTCACATCACCAAATCATAAGTATTGAAGATCTGAACATGTATCTGAAGCCTATTTGAAATCTGTCAGCCCCAACGCTTGCAGTGAGGCGGTTGCAACGTTCTGACCCTAAAGATCCTCCGTTTGGGACCTATCATACAGTGAGGGATGAGGATGGCCTCTATCATTCCACGCTGCAACTCACTGACAAAGCTCGAGCAGCTGCCCGTCTGAAAAAATTGCAATACAAAGGAGAAGGGGCGCGTACCATAAAAGCAGCAGAGCTATCAGCAGCTCGTGTGCTTTGGGATGATCCCTGTATAAGGGAGCAAGCCGCAAAGCTGCGGCCTGGGAAGACAGCTTTGAAGCATAACAAAAACTATTTACAGCACAATGCCAGGCGCAAAGCGCTATGGTTGGGACGCCAGCCGGTGCATAGTGCACAAAAAAAGGAGGAAAGAGGTTAGCGTAAGAAAGCCTGCGCAGAGCACAATGCCAGGCGCAAAGCGCAACAGGCGCAACGGTATGGGGCCGGTGCATAGAAAAGACGCAAAGCAGCGCAGAGCACTTTCACATTTTTGGTACCGAGCTTTGATCATGTACTTCTTTTGGCCCAGCGGTCACGTGGTTTGTTTTGACTAACTGCATCGCTGTCTTGTGACTTCACCAGAAACGATGCGCCGATGCGCAGTGTTGTGAAGCAACTTACAAAGATACCTGAACCATCCTGAACCACAGGCTCAATTCTTTGACGGCCGGGTGCGGCAGTGCGGTGCCCTACGTGGCAGGATGTCAGAGCTGTGAATCACAGTGAAACATGGTGAAACTGCGACCTGATCAAGCCAACTTGTACAATCATATACAATCAACTTAATCATGTGAAATCTCAAAGCAGAAGCTGGCAGAACCTGTGCGTTTTCTGGCAAAAGATGTGTGTTTTATAAATGTAGAGGCTAAGAAAGATTTTCAAGTGAATTAAAAAGCAGGTCAGGTGAACAAACCTGAACAGCAAACTTCACTGACTGATTGCTGAGGGGTTCACTCAACATGTTCAAATAAGCCACCAATCCGCCTTCTGCAAGGCATTTGCATGCCTTGTTGGGAAATGGTGGAAGGCATGGCTGCCTTCAACCACAAAACTGGGGGTTCGGTTTTGCACAGATTGGCAGATGGACACACACGTCACTTCTAGGCAGTGCACGATGGGAAGAGCACGTGGCAAAGACATAAGAAGACCATGGATGTAGCAACATGTTGGGCACAGCGTGCTCTTGTGCCTTTCTTAGGTCAAGACTCAAACTAGAACAAATGCTGCCATCATAGCAGATATACCCACAACTTTAAGTGTTCTGGAACTAGTGCCACGGTTTGTTCCTTGGACATATGTGGGACGATTCTTGCTGCCTTGACACATTGTTCATTCGGCGCTGAATGAGGCAGCGGCTGAAAGCTGCCCTGACCATGGTTCACACGTGTCTCCTGCATGTCTTGGTGTGCAAGTTCCTGCAGAGCAGTTCCGACACTGTCCCACATCAAAAAAATCGCACCCAACTACCAGATTTATTTTTTCTGCAGGTGCACCCTTCACGAGACGAGACAGGACCTGCAATTTTGTGCGAGTAAAGTCGGCATTTCTCCAACTTGTGGCACGCGTTTTGATACTGTCGTTCTTTCTTGACATGGTTTGACTCGGTCAGCTGAAAGGCCGTGTTCAATTACAATAGACATAAAGTATCATAATTCAAAATGTGGTGTTTCGGATTAGAATGGGTTTGTATCTAGATGTGATTAGGTTGTTCTGCAAGTTGTGAATTCACTCAGGTTTTGCCTGGCCATTGATTTCTGCCTTTGGAAGTTCACATTGTCACCCCAGGATGTGAAGAATTGGTGCGCCACTTATTTTGCACCACCACAGAGCCAAAGTGAAAAATATCAAAAAATCTGCAAGCCTGAGGGCCATGAGGGAAGGGTGGAAGTGCTCGCAGCAAGGCCAGCTTATCTCCTGACGTTGCTCAAAGGTTTTGACTCGGACATTTCTCATCAGGCGAGCATCAGACGGGAGTGTGCTGTGGTATGCTGCAGTGATTTCTTCTCATTTTGCAGTGCATATATTACATTATATTACATAATATTTCATCAGAGCAATACCTGGACCTTCAAACGCACCTGAAATTTGTGTGCAATTTGGATTTGTAAGTGATATAAATACAAAAAAAGGATAAACACAGGTACCAGTAGTACCGCGTTGGAGGAGAAGCAATTGAGTGGCGCGCGCGGTGGAAGGACGAGGAGAAGGAAGTGCTTCGTCAGGCGTTGGAGGAGATGCAGGAGGAGGGAAAGGACTTGCCACCTGTGAAGCGACCTTTGAACAAACTCTTACGTTTCTTTACTGGCTCTTTCAAGCAGCCTGTAGAAGGATGGAAGAACTCAAAGGTGGAGTTTCTCCTCAAGAGGACAGACAGGTGCCCTCTGATTGGAAAGACTTGCTTCAATGAATTGCGCATTCCTTCAGATTCCTTCAGGATGCCTCGAAAGCTCTCACAAGTTGAAAGAGATGATTGCAGAGTCCGTGGTCTCAGAGGATTTTGCCATCGAGTAGTCTCCATATGTGGCCGGACGACACAGCCTACGCAGCCTGCGATGAGGCAAAGGCGACAAAAAGGATGCTCATTTTGAGTGTTCGTACAGCCGCGCATCCAAGTCCATCCTGGAAACCAAGTGCTTTGCAATCGGAGGATCATTGCAATAAATTGCAACTTCAGCTCGTGTTCAGCACTTTCATGGCATTTCATGGCTATAGCATAGAAAATACGTAGTTAGTAGGTGTTAGTACGGCAGCACCTTCGTTTGATTTGCAGGTGGAACTACCGTCGTGGATCCAATGCTGCAAGGCATCTGGATGTTTCTGTTCTGTTTCTATTCTCTTTCTGTTCTGTTTCTGTTTCCAAAATTGTCCCGAATTGATCAAAATGGGATTTCACCATCGCATCAGACAACTTCTCCGCCAGGCAGTGTGAAGGTCTTCGCCTCGGGTCAAGGCAGGTGGCCTGGCATAGCCTGGCATAGCCTGGCATAGTTGTGTTACGGCGTGGCAAAAGCTCAGCAAAAGCACAGCGGCACAGTCATGCATAGTCTATGTTGACATGTCAAAAGCTCAGGATATCTGCAGAGTGTTGGACTTCTATAGGATCTTCATGTCATTTCTTCATTTCTTTCGTTGTCCACATTGTGTCCACATGCCAGACTTCAGCCAGGCCGGAGCTCGACTTCAGGGACTGGACCCGAGAAACCTCAGAGACCCGAGACTTTCAGGCGTGTTGTGCCCCAGTCATGCGGCTGCATAGAGTGATCAGTCTAAGTTTTGACACATGTAGGCTGCAAACATTCTGAAGCGGTTTTCGAAATCTTTCAGACACATTTGGGGCATTTTGGAACTTCCCTTCAGCTCGGGGAAGTGAAGCAGACCAATTCAGCCAGTTGCAAGAAACGACCACACACACAAGTACCATACAAATACAATCAGAATACCTTCACTCGCCCATCGAAAGATGCTTGATGATGGTCACGTTTGCTACAACGACCAACTATTTACATTTGCAGCATTTCTCCGCACATTTGTTCCAAACTGCAGATGCTCCGGGTGCATATGCACGCATTAATCCAGCGTTTGCCAAGGTTTAGCAGTTGATTGGAAGATCCATCTCTAAAAACTTCTCTGTTTTGCTGCTTTTGCTGGCTCATGAACCAGGCTGCAGCTTGAAGTAGGAACATAGAAAACAGAAAGGTCACATGCAGAGGTCGATTTGCAATTTCATTCAATGGAGTTGAATCTTGCATCAGGACAACTTGACAACTTGTCAAATATATGTGGCATTATGTGGCACTGTGGCACCAATATTTTTGTGAAAAAATCATCCACTTGTGCTGCGGAAATGGATTATTCGTCTTCTTCGAGGAGTCGAAAATCCAGGACTTCTTCGTCTTCTTCCAGGAGTCGAAAAGCCAGGACTTCTTCGTCTTCTTCGAGGAGTCGCTCCCCGAGGGCCAAGCAGAAAGCGTTCCTGACTCGGAGCACCGCAGGATCAGCTGTTTTTGGCTTTTCTGATTCTAGAAACTTCGAGACATGTCTCCCTCGCTTCATTCTGTCACCTCTCCTTGTCGTTTTCTATGTTTTGCATTTTACAAAAAGTCTTTGCAACTGTACAATTAGGTCCTTTCAGTTTTGTTGGAATTTTCAGCATTCTGTCGAAACATGTTTCTACTGACCGAGGTCTTCCAGTGGTGCCCAAAGGTCCAGGCCATCTCCGCTACGTGGGCGGCTGTGGGGTTTTGACGTGAACAAGTATGATGGAAATTGGAAAGGGGCGACGGTCGATTTCTTCAGGTGGCTTAGTTGCAAGACGTCACAAGACACTGGTCACATCACCAAATCATAAGTATTGAAGATCTGAACATGTATCTGAAGCCTATTTGAAATCTGTCAGCCCCAACGCTTGCAGTGAGGCGGTTGCAACGTTCTGACCCTAAAGATCCTCCGTTTGGGACCTATCATACAGTGAGGGATGAGGATGGCCTCTATCATTCCACGCTGCAACTCACTGACAAAGCTCGAGCAGCTGCCCGTCTGAAAAAATTGCAATACAAAGGAGAAGGGGCGCGTACCAAAATAGCAGCAGAGCTATCAGCAGCTCGTGTGCTTTGGGATGATCCTCGTATAAGGGAGCAAGCCGCAAAGCTGCGGCCTGGGAAGACAGCTTTGAAGTGTAACAAAAACTATTTACAGCACAATGCCAGGCGCAAAGCGCAATGGTTGGGACGCCAGCCGGTGCATAGTGCACAAAAAAAGGAGGAAAGAGGTTAGCGTAAGAAAGCCTGCGCAGAGCACAATGCCAGGCGCAAAGCGCAACAGGCGCAACGGTATGGGGCCGGTGCATAGAAAAGACGCAAAGCAGCGCAGAGCACTTTCACATTTTTGGTACCGAGCTTTGATCATGTACTTCTTTTGGCCCAGCAGTCACGTGGTTTGTTTTGACTAACTGCATCGCTGTCTTGTGACTTCACCAGAAACGATGCGCCGATGCGCAGTGTTGTGAAGCAACTTACAAAGATACCTGAACCATCCTGAACCACAGGCTCAATTCTTTGACGGCCGGGTGCGGCAGTGCGGTGCCCTACGTGGCAGGATGTCAGAGCTGTGAATCACAGTGAAACATGGTGAAACTGCGACCTGATCAAGCCAACTTGTACAATCATATACAATCAACTTAATCATGTGAAATCTCAAAGCAGAAGCTGGCAGAACCTGTGCGTTTTCTGGCAAAAGATGTGTGTTTTATAAATGTAGAGGCTAAGAAAGATTTTCAAGTGAATTAAAAAGCAGGTCAGGTGAACAAACCTGAACAGCAAACTTCACTGACTGATTGCTGAGGGGTTCACTCAACATGTTCAAATAAGCCACCAATCCGCCTTCTGCAAGGCATTTGCATGCCTTGTTGGGAAATGGTGGAAGGCATGGCTGCCTTCAACCACAAAACTGGGGGTTCGGTTTTGCACAGATTGGCAGATGGACACACACGTCACTTCTAGGCAGTGCACGATGGGAAGAGCACGTGGCGAAGACATAAGAAGACCATGGATGTAGCAACATGTTGGGCACAGCGTGCTCTTGTGCCTTTCTTAGGTCAAGACTCAAACTAGAACAAATGCTGCCATCATAGCAGATATACCCACAACTTTAAGTGTTCTGGAACTAGTGCCACGGTTTGTTCCTTGGACATATGTGGGACGATTCTTGCTGCCTTGACACATTGTTCATTCGGCGCTGAATGAGGCAGCGGCTGAAAGCTGCCCTGACCATGGTTCACACGTGTCTCCTGCATGTCTTGGTGTGCAAGTTCCTGCAGAGCAGTTCCGACACTGTCCCACATCAAAAAAATCGCACCCAACTACCAGATTTATTTTTTCTGCAGGTGCACCCTTCACGAGACGAGACAGGACCTGCGGCTCTGGACATTTTGGTGTTTGGATGCATTCATGCATAAGCCGGATCAAGCCGGCAAGTTCACACTTTTGCCGAAAGTTGCACGTTTCTAGAGTCCGCGCCCCACGGGGAACGTCAAAGCAATTCGAAGATATCAAGAGCGTAAGAAGGAATGGGGTCGCTGAAAATTGTTGAGAAACAGGAGGTTGCATTGGGCTAGACTACTTGGGGAATGGCATGGAATGGCCAGATCAGAATCATTTTATGTCGAATCATGTCGAATCAGTGTCACAGGATGCGGCATGGGATGCATGGGGTTTCAGGTGCCATTGATCAGGTCAATCAGGTTGTATCCGGTTGGGATGGTCACGGTGCAAGGGATTTTCAGGTCATCATGGTCCTTTTTGTCGCATGTGGGCGGGACGCTCCAAATGGTGGGTGGAGGAATTACATGGAATTACTGTACAGGATCCGAACATATCCAACCCCCTTGCTACTTGGGGCCGATCATTTTCTACGTTCATCCATTTGTCATCATTTTTCTATATCTTGCAACTCCTTAAGTAAAGATCTGACACAATACAAAAAGAAACATGTCAGCGGCGTCCTCTCAATTATGTCAGACGAACACGGACGGTTCATGACCTTTCCGATTTTGTTACATCACCTGCAGCCTGTCCATCCGATGTCCATCGTACACCCTCTTACCGCTGCTCTTGAACAATTTTGTGCGAGTAAAGTCGGCATTTCTCCAACTTGTGGCACGCGTTTTGATACTGTCGTTCTTTCTTGACATGGTTTGACTCGGTCAGCTGAAAGGCCGTGTTCAATTACAATAGACATAAATTAGGACGTAGCTCTACCACGTTTTTGACCTGTCTCTTTAGAGAGTTTTTATAGCCTTAACTTTTAGTTTCTATACACTTAACTTTTAGTTTTTATACACTTAACTTTTAGTTTTTATACACTTAACTTTTAGTTTTTATCAACTTAACTTTTAGTTTTTATCAACTTAACTCTTAGTTTTTATACACTTAACTGTTAGTTTTTATACACTTAACTTTTAGTTTTTATACACTTAACTTTTAGTTTTTATACACTTAACTTTTAGTTTTTATACACTTAACTTTTAGTTTTTATACACTTAACTTTTAGTTTTTATACACTTAACTTTTAGTTTTTATACACTTAACTTTTAGTTTTTATACACTTAACTTTTAGTTTTTATCAACTTAACTTTTAGTTTTTATACACTTAACTTTTAGTTTTTATCAACTTAACTTTTAGTTTTTATCAACTTAACTCTTAGTTTTTATACACTTAACTTTTAGTTTTTATACACTTAACTTTTAGTTTTTATCAACTTAACTCTTAGTTTTTATACACTTAACTTTTAGTTTTTATCAACTTAACTTTTAGTTTTTATCAACTTAACTTTTAGTTTTTATACACTTACCTTTTAGTTTTTATCAACTTAACTCTTAGTTTTTATACACTTAACTTTTAGTTTTTATCAACTTAACTTTTAGTTTTTATACACTTAACTTTTAGTTTTTATCAACTTAACTCTTAGTTTTTATACACTTAACTGTTAGTTTTTATACACTTAACTTTTAGTTTTTAGACACTTAACTTTTAGTTTTTATACACTTAACTTTTAGTTTTTATACACTTAACTTTTAGTTTTTATACACTTAACTTTTAGTTTTTATACACTTAACTTTTAGTTTTTATACACTTAACTTTTAGTTTTTATACACTTAACTTTAGTTTTTATACACTTAACTTTTAGTTTTTATACACTTAACTTTTAGTTTTTATACACTTAACTTTTAGTTTTTATACACTTAACTTTTAGTTTTTATACACTTAACTTTTAGTTTTTATACACTTAACTTTTAGTTTTTATACACTTAACTTTTAGTTTTTATACACTTAACTTTTAGTTTTTATACACTTAACTTTTACTAAGATAGAACCCCAAAATTGGACCCCAAAATGACCCCAAGAAGGTGAGTTTTTATCAGCTTAAGTCTGGCCAGTTAAGCTGACACAAAGTAAGGGTATAAAAACTCTAGTCTGGTGCAAAATAGAGTTTCTGTACCCTTACTTTGTGTCAGCTTAACTGGCCAGACTTAAGCTGATAAAAACTCACCTTCTTGGGGTCATTTTGGGGTCATTTTGGGGTCCAATTTTGGGGTTCTATCTTAGTAAAAGTTAAGTGTATAAAAACTAAAAGTTAAGTGTATAAAAACTAAAAGTTAAGTTGATAAAAACTAAAAGTTAAGTGTATAAAAACTAAAAGTTAAGTGTATAAAAACTAAAAGTTAAGTGTATAAAAACTAAAAGTTAAGTGTATAAAAACTAAAAGTTAAGTGTATAAAAACTAAAAGTTAAGTGTATAAAAACTAAGAGTTAAGTGTATAAAAACTAAAAGTTAAGTGTATAAAAACTAAAAGTTAAGTGTATAAAAACTAAAAGTTAAGTGTATAAAAACTAAAAGTTAAGTGTATAAAAACTAAAAGTTAAGTTGATAAAAACTAAAAGTTAAGTGTATAAAAACTAAAAGTTAAGTGTATAAAAACTAAGAGTTAAGTTGATAAAAACTAAAAGTTAAGTTGATAAAAACTAAAAGTTAAGTGTATAAAAACTAAAAGTTAAGTGTATAAAAACTAAAAGTTAAGTGTATAAAAACTAAAAGTTAAGTGTATAAAAACTAAAAGTTAAGTGTATAAAAACTGAAAGTTAAGTGTATAAAAACTAAAAGTTAAGTGTATAAAAACTAAGAGTTAAGTTGATAAAAACTAAAAGTTAAGTGTATAAAAACTAAGAGTTAAGTTGATAAAAACTAAAAGTTAAGTGTATAAAAACTAAAAGTTCAGTTGATAAAACTCCTAAAGAAAACGTGTTAGATCAACACCCTAAGACATAAAGTATCATAATTCAAAATGTGGTGTTTCGGATTAGAATGGGTTTGTATCTAGATGTGATTAGGTTGTTCTGCAAGTTGTGAATTCACTCAGGTTTTGCCTGGCCATTGATTTCTGCCTTTGGAAGTTCACATTGTCACCCCAGGATGTGAAGAATTGGTGCGCCACTTATTTTGCACCACCACAGAGCCAAAGTGAAAAATATCAAAAAATCTGCAAGCCTGAGGGCCATGAGGGAAGGGTGGAAGTGCTCGCAGCAAGGCCAGCTTATCTCCTGACGTTGCTCAAAGGTTTTGACTCGGACATTTCTCATCAGGCGAGCATCAGACGGGAGTGTGCTGTGGTATGCTGCAGTGATTTCTTCTCATTTTGCAGTGCATATATTACATTATATTACATAATATTTCATCAGAGCAATACCTGGACCTTCAAACGCACCTGAAATTTGTGTGCAATTTGGATTTGTAAGTGATATAAATACAAAAAAAGGATAAACACAGGTACCAGTAGTACCGCGTTGGAGGAGAAGCAATTGAGTGGCGCGCGCGGTGGAAGGACGAGGAGAAGGAAGTGCTTCGTCAGGCGTTGGGGGAGATGCAGGAGGAGGGAAAGGACTTGCCACCTGTGAAGCGACCTTTGAACAAACTCTTACGTTTCTTTACTGGCTCTTTCAAGCAGCCTGTAGAAGGATGGAAGAACTCAAAGGTGGAGTTTCTCCTCAAGAGGACAGACAGGTGCATCCCTCTGATTGGAAAGACTTGCTTCAATGAATTGCGCATTCCTTCAGATTCCTTCAGGATGCCTCGAAAGCTCTCACAAGTTGAAAGAGATGATTGCAGAGTCCGTGGTCTCAGAGGATTTTGCCATCGAGTAGTCTCCATATGTGGCCGGACGACACAGCCTACGCAGCCTGCGATGAGGCAAAGGCGACAAAAAGGATGCTCATTTTGAGTGTTCGTACAGCCGCGCATCCAAGTCCATCCTGGAAACCAAGTGCTTTGCAATCGGAGGATCATTGCAATAAATTGCAACTTCAGCTCGTGTTCAGCACTTTCATGGCATTTCATGGCTATAGCATAGAAAATACGTAGTTAGTAGGTGTTAGTACGGCAGCACCTTCGTTTGATTTGCAGGTGGAACTACCGTCGTGGATCCAATGCTGCAAGGCATCTGGATGTTTCTGTTCTGTTTCTATTCTCTTTCTGTTCTGTTTCTGTTTCCAAAATTGTCCCGAATTGATCAAAATGGGATTTCACCATCGCATCAGACAACTTCTCCGCCAGGCAGTGTGAAGGTCTTCGCCTCGGGTCAAGGCAGGTGGCCTGGCATAGCCTGGCATAGCTTGGCATAGCCTGGTAGTGTGTTACGGCGTGGCAAAAGCCAGCAAAAGCACAGCGGCACAGTCCATGCATATTCTATGTTGACATGTCAAAAGCCAGATATCTGCCTAGATGTGTTGGACTTCTATAGTATCTTCATGTCTTTTCTTCATTCTTTCGTTGTCCCATTGTGTCCACATGCCAACTTCAGCCAGGCCGGAGCTCGCTTTCAGGGACTGGCCCGAGAAACCTCAAGAGACCCGAGACTTTCAGGCTGTTGTGGCCGAGTCATGCGGATCGTAGAGTGATCAAGTCAATTTTTGTTGACACTGTACGGATTCCATAGCACATTCTGAAGCGGTTTTCGAAATCTTTCAGACACATTTGGGGCATTTTGGAACTTCCCTTCAGCTCGGGGAAGTGAAGCAGATCAATTCAGCCAGTTGCGAGAAACGACCACACATACAAGTACCATACAAATACAGTCAGAATACCTTCACTCGCCCATCGAAAGATGCTTGATGATGGCCACGTTTGCTACAACGACCAACTATTTACATTTACAGCATTTCTCCGCACATTTGTTCCAAACTGCAGATGCTCCGGGTGCATATGCACGCATTAATCCAGCGTTTGCCAAGGTTTAGCAGTTGATTGGAAGATCCATCTCTAAAAACTTCTCTGTTTTGCTGCTTTTGCTGGCTCATGAACCAGGCTGCAGCTTGAAGTAGGAACATAGAAAACAGAAAGGTCACATGCAGAGGTCGATTTGCAATTTCATTCAATGGAGTTGAATCTTGCATCAGGACAACTTGACAACTTGTCAAATAGATGTGGCATTATGTGGCACTGTGGCAGCAATATTTTTGTGACTTATTCATCCATTTCTGCTGCGGACATGGATTATTCGTCTTCTTCGAGGAGTCGAAAATCCAGGACTTCTTCGTCTTCTTCCAGGAGTCGAAAAGCCAGGACTTCTTCGTCTTCTTCGAGGAGTCGCTCCCCGAGGGCCAAGCAGAAAGCGTTCCTGACTCGGAGCACCGCAGGATCAGCTGTTTTTGGCTTTTCTGATTCTAGAAACTTCGAGACATGTCTCCCTCGCTTCATTCTGTCACCTCTCCTTGTCGTTTTCTATGTTTTGCATTTTACAAAAAGTCTTTGCAACTGTACAATTAGGTCCTTTCAGTTTTGTTGGAATTTTCAGCATTCTGTCGAAACATGTTTCTACTGACCGAGGTCTTCCAGTGGTGCCCAAAGGTCCAGGCCATCTCCGCTACGTGGGCGGCTGTGGGGTTTTGACGTGAACAAGTATGATGGAAATTGGAAAGGGGCGACGGTCGATTTCTTCAGGTGGCTTAGTTGCAAGACGTCACAAGACACTGGTCACATCACCAAATCATAAGTATTGAAGATCTGAACATGTATCTGAAGCCTATTTGAAATCTGTCAGCCCCAACGCTTGCAGTGAGGCGGTTGCAACGTTCTGACCCTAAAGATCCTCCGTTTGGGACCTATCATACAGTGAGGGATGAGGATGGCCTCTATCATTCCACGCTGCAACTCACTGACAAAGCTCGAGCAGCTGCCCGTCTGAAAAAATTGCAATACAAAGGAGAAGGGGCGCGTACCATAAAAGCAGCAGAGCTATCAGCAGCTCGTGTGCTTTGGGATGATCCCTGTATAAGGGAGCAAGCCGCAAAGCTGCGGCCTGGGAAGACAGCTTTGAAGCATAACAAAAACTATTTACAGCACAATGCCAGGCGCAAAGCGCTATGGTTGGGACGCCAGCCGGTGCATAGTGCACAAAAAAAGGAGGAAAGAGGTTAGCGTAAGAAAGCCTGCGCAGAGCACAATGCCAGGCGCAAAGCGCAACAGGCGCAACGGTATGGGGCCGGTGCATAGAAAAGACGCAAAGCAGCGCAGAGCACTTTCACATTTTTGGTACCGAGCTTTGATCATGTACTTCTTTTGGCCCAGCGGTCACGTGGTTTGTTTTGACTAACTGCATCGCTGTCTTGTGACTTCACCAGAAACGATGCGCCGATGCGCAGTGTTGTGAAGCAACTTACAAAGATACCTGAACCATCCTGAACCACAGGCTCAATTCTTTGACGGCCGGGTGCGGCAGTGCGGTGCCCTACGTGGCAGGATGTCAGAGCTGTGAATCACAGTGAAACATGGTGAAACTGCGACCTGATCAAGCCAACTTGTACAATCATATACAATCAACTTATATAATCATGTGAAATCTCAAAGCAGAAGCTGGCAGAACCTGTGCGTTTTCTGGCAAAAGATGTGTGTTTTATAAATGTAGAGGCTAAGAAAGATTTTCAAGTGAATTAAAAAGCAGGTCAGGTGAACAAACCTGAACAGCAAACTTCACTGACTGATTGCTGAGGGGTTCACTCAACATGTTCAAATAAGCCACCAATCCGCCTTCTGCAAGGCATTTGCATGCCTTGTTGGGAAATGGTGGAAGGCATGGCTGCCTTCAACCACAAAACTGGGGGTTCGGTTTTGCACAGATTGGCAGATGGACACACACGTCACTTCTAGGCAGTGCACGATGGGAAGAGCACGTGGCAAAGACATAAGAAGACCATGGATGTAGCAACATGTTGGGCACAGCGTGCTCTTGTGCCTTTCTTAGGTCAAGACTCAAACTAGAACAAATGCTGCCATCATAGCAGATATACCCACAACTTTAAGTGTTCTGGAACTAGTGCCACGGTTTGTTCCTTGGACATATGTGGGACGATTCTTGCTGCCTTGACACATTGTTCATTCGGCGCTGAATGAGGCAGCGGCTGAAAGCTGCCCTGACCATGGTTCACACGTGTCTCCTGCATGTCTTGGTGTGCAAGTTCCTGCAGAGCAGTTCCGACACTGTCCCACATCAAGAAAAAATCGCACCCAACTACCAGATTTATTTTTTCTGCAGGTGCACCCTTCACGAGACGAGACAGGACCTGCATCCGATGTCCATCGTACACCCTCTTACCGCTGCTCTTGAACAATTTTGTGCGAGTAAAGTCGGCATTTCTCCAACTTGTGGCACGCGTTTTGATACTGTCGTTCTTTCTTGACATGGTTTGACTCGGTCAGCTGAAAGGCCGTGTTCAATTACAATAGACATAAAGTATCATAATTCAAAATGTGGTGTTTCGGATTAGAATGGGTTTGTATCTAGATGTGACTAGGTTGTTCTGCAAGTTGTGAATTCACTCAGGTTTTGCCTGGCCATTGATTTCTGCCTTTGGAAGTTCACATTGTCACCCCAGGATGTGAAGAATTGGTGCGCCACTTATTTTGCACCACCACAGAGCCAAAGTGAAAAATATCAAAAAATCTGCAAGCCTGAGGGCCATGAGGGAAGGGTGGAAGTGCTCGCAGCAAGGCCAGCTTATCTCCTGACGTTGCTCAAAGGTTTTGACTCGGACATTTCTCATCAGGCGAGCATCAGACGGGAGTGTGCTGTGGTATGCTGCAGTGATTTCTTCTCATTTTGCAGTGCATATATTACATTATATTACATAATATTTCATCAGAGCAATACCTGGACCTTCAAACGCACCTGAAATTTGTGTGCAATTTGGATTTGTAAGTGATATAAATACAAAAAAAGGATAAACACAGGTACCAGTAGTACCGCGTTGGAGGAGAAGCAATTGAGTGGCGCGCGCGGTGGAAGGACGAGGAGAAGGAAGTGCTTCGTCAGGCGTTGGAGGAGATGCAGGAGGAGGGAAAGGACTTGCCACCTGTGAAGCGACCTTTGAACAAACTCTTACGTTTCTTTACTGGCTCTTTCAAGCAGCCTGTAGAAGGATGGAAGAACTCAAAGGTGGAGTTTCTCCTCAAGAGGACAGACAGGTGCATCCCTCTGATTGGAAAGACTTGCTTCAATGAATTGCGCATTCCTTCAGGATGCCTCGAAAGCTCTCACAAGTTGAAAGAGATGATTGCAGAGTCTGTGGTCTCAGAGGACTTTGCCATCGAGTAGTCTCCATATGTGGCCGGACGACACAGCCTACGCAGCCTGCGATGAGGCAAAGGCGACAAAAAGGCGACAAAAAGGATGCTCATTTTGAGTGTTCGTACAGCCGTGCATCCAAGTCCATCCTGGAAACCAAGTGCTTTGCAATCGGAGGATCATTGCAATAAATTGCAACTTCAGCTCGCATTCAGCACTTTCATGGCATTTCATGGCTATAGCATGGAAAATACGTAGTTAGTATATAGATGTTAGTATGTTAGTAGGTGTTAGTACGGCAGCATCTTCGTTTGATTTGCAGGTGGAACTACCGTCGTGGATCCAATGCTGCAAGGCATCTGGATGTTTCTGTTCTGTTTCTATTCTCTTTCTGTTCTGTTTCTGTTTCCAAAATTGTCCCGAATTGATCAAAATGGGATTTCACCATCGCATCAGACAACTTCTCCGCCAGGCAGTGTGAAGGTCTTCGCCTCGGGTCAAGGCAGGTGGCCTGGCATAGCCTGGCATAGCCTGGCATAGTTGTGTTACGGTGTGGCAAAAGCTCAGCCAAAGCACAGCGGCATTGTCATGCATAGTCTATGTTGACATGTGAGCAAAAGCTCAGGATATCTGCAGAGTGTTGGACTTCTATAGGATCTTCATGTCATTTCTTCGTTGTCCACATTGTGTCCACATGCCAGACTTCAGCCAGGCCGGAGCTCGACTTCAGGGACTGGACCCGAGAAACCTCAGAGACCCGAGACTTTCAGGCGTGTTGTGGCCGAGTCATGCGGATGCGTAGAGTGATCAGTCTAAGTTTTGACACATGTAAGGCTGCAAACATTCTGAAGCGGTTTTCGAAATCTTTCAGACACATTTGGGGCATTTTGGAACTTCCCTTCAGCTCGGGGAAGTGAAGCAGATCAATTCAGCCAGTTGCGAGAAACGACCACACATACAAGTACCATACAAATACGGTCAGAATACCTTCACTCGCCCATCGAAAGATGCTTGATGATGGTCACGTTTGCTACAACGACCAACTATTTACATTTGCAGCATTTCTCCGCACATTTGTTCCAAACTGCAGATGCTCCGGGTGCATATGCACGCATTAATCCAGCGTTTGCCAAGGTTTAGCAGTTGATTGGAAGATCCATCTCTAAAAACTTCTCTGTTTTGCTGCTTTTGCTGGCTCATGAACCAGGCTGCAGCTTGAAGTAGGAACATAGAAAACAGAAAGGTCACATGCAGAGGTCGATTTGCAATTTCATTCAATGGAGTTGAATCTTGCATCAGGACAACTTGACAACTTGTCAAATATATGTGGCATTATGTGGCACTGTGGCAGCAATATTTTTGTGACTTATTCATCCACTTCTGCTGCGGACATGGATTATTCGTCTTCTTCGAGGAGTCGAAAATCCAGGACTTCTTCGTCTTCTTCCAGGAGTCGAAAAGCCAGGACTTCTTCGTCTTCTTCGAGGAGTCGCTCCCCGAGGGCCAAGCAGAAAGCGTTCCTGACTCGGAGCACCGCAGGATCAGCTGTTTTTGGCTTTTCTGATTCTAGAAACTTCGAGACATGTCTCCCTCGCTTCATTCTGTCACCTCTCCTTGTCGTTTTCTATGTTTTGCATTTTACAAAAAGTCTTTGCAACTGTACAATTAGGTCCTTTCAGTTTTGTTGGAATTTTCAGCATTCTGTCGAAACATGTTTCTACTGACCGAGGTCTTCCAGTGGTGCCCAAAGGTCCAGGCCATCTCCGCTACGTGGGCGGCTGTGGGGTTTTGACGTGAACAAGTATGATGGAAATTGGAAAGGGGCGACGGTCGATTTCTTCAGGTGGCTTAGTTGCAAGACGTCACAACACACTGGTCACATCACCAAATCATAAGTATTGAAGATCTGAACATGTATCTGAAGCCTATTTGAAATCTGTCAGCCCCAACGCTTGCAGTGAGGCGGTTGCAACGTTCTGACCCTAAAGATCCTCCGTTTGGGACCTATCATACAGTGAGGGATGAGGATGGCCTCTATCATTCCACGCTGCAA